GGCCCCTCGGCCCCGCCGTGGCGGCTCCGCAGGTGCCCCGAGCTGAGGCGCGGCTGTGCCGAGGCCCAGATCAGGAGCTAAAATCTGTCCCGGTGCTCCCTTCCCCTCGGGGTGGGGTGGCCCAAGGTGTTGGCACTTAGGGCACGGCAGGCTCTGGTATCCGTGGGGTGATTTCATCCCTTCCGTGACATTTCGTCTTTCAGGGTTCCTGGGCGTGTGTGTCAGGCTGCTGTTGTGTTGCCGAACGTTTTGTTAATTAATCATTATTTTGCTACTAATTTCTGAGTGGTTATCCTGCCTCCCTTAATGAGCTGCCTCTTGCCAAGTCTGGTGTGACGTGAAATGATGCTGATAACTGATACCACGTTGGAGATTCGGCTTTTTCTTTTACTTTATGAGCAGGTTTGGGGTGGGGGGACACAACAGAGCAGCTGAGGGAGTTCCCTGAAGAGCTGGCTGGGATCTGTGGTGCTCCTCAAGTGCTTTCTGCCTTTAGGAATGCTACACAGAAATTTCCCTTGGAGAAGTGTGAAGGAAAGCTTGAAGATGGCACAAAAAGCTGACATAAAGCAGTAAAACGTGTGCTGCAATGTAACCCATATTTTCAAGAGTACAGTAGGCTGCAATTGCCTTTGCACGTTATTTTTATATAATTATTTTCTGAGACAGCAGTAAATAGTGGGTTTGTGTAATGGTGATGACAACTGTCTACCTGTACCACTATCTTTAATCTTGGAATCATAGAATGGTTTGTGTTGGAGGGCTCCTTAAAGATCATCTAGTACAGTTTGAGATAATTTTCGCAGGTCTGTGGGGTTTGTTTTTTTGTTTTCACAAACATTCCAGGAGCTGTACTGATTGAAGAAGTTGCCCGCTTGGTGCGTGGTTTTCTTTTTCTCATCAAAAAAAGGTTTGTGTAAGTGAAGGTTCTCTCTTACCACCTTGAAGAATTCACCAAGAGCCCGTGTGATAAGTAATCCTGTGGAAATTGTAGTCAAAGTGCTGTGTTTGTTGCAGGTGTGTGCCCAGGAACGATGGCGACAGAGTCCCCGCGCCGCCCCAGTCGCTGCACTGGAGGAGTGGTGGTTCGCCCTCAAGCTGCCACGTAAGAACCTTCTAGAAGAACAGCCCTTACTGAAAAGGGGTTGATTTTCTTGTAGAAGACCCCAGGCTGAGCTGGTTTGGGTTTTTTCCCCCCAAAGCCAGCTTGTGTTGACGCTGCAGTTTTGTGGCGTTGAGAGTTGTCCAGTAAAGTCAACGCATGGCATTTCTGTCTCCCTAAATGGGATCCTTTGCAATTGCACACCAAAGTTGTATATTTAAAAGCTAATCACTGCAAAGTTTTGGTCTTGTTTGCACCATTTTGCTGTACAAACGTTGCAATGTAGAAAAGTGATGCCAAGTTTTTCCTTAGGCCAGAGGGATGTGCCACATGTGATCCTTTCTTGCTGTTCTTTTAAACAACACTTTGTCCCAGGAGTGAATATATTAAAACATGCAAAACTTGTAATTTAAGTCCTCCAGGAAGGAGAATTGTGGAATTTTTTTTTTTTTTAATTTTACTTAAAAGAACAAAACCAAGAAAAAAGGAAGAAACTCCATCCTTCTGGTCAGAGCACCTGACACATTTTGTGCCTCGACATCCTGATTTTCACTGTGTTCTAATGGGAATGCTTTCATGGCAAAAGAGCTTTTTGGCTGCAAGACAGCCTAGAAGATTTATGGTCTTTTCTTTGTTAAAGGAGTTTTGTAGCAATTTTTCTTTCTTCCTTGGGATGCTTATGCTGCTACAAAATATCACCATATGGAAATGTCCACCTCAGGGGGACTTACTGTGCCCTTGGAGATAACTCTGTATTTCCAGAAACAAGATTTACTTCCATTTTTGTTGAAGAGCACAAGAAACTGATTGTTGTAACACAAAAAGTTGTGTTAGAGCTCTGTCTTGCAGCCATTTTTTAATGTGGCAGATTTCCTCAACAGTTCCTCTCTGTAACAATGTTTTCTTCAAAATATGCTTTAAAAATATAATAGAAAAACACTGTAAGAAGATGATTATCTGATTTATTTTTTTTTTTACTTACACATGGTGTTTTGTTCTTGAGGTATCTGTTTGTGCCTCAAAAATGTCACTGTTTTTGATGGATCTGTGTGTGCTGAGCACTCAGCAGCATTCTGCTGCTCGTGTTACATTTCTACATCATTATTAAAGGAAGATTGGGCTTTTTTGTGGGTTATGTTTTTTTTTAACCACTTTCAAGACATCTCCCTGGAACTTTTTCAACTTCAGGAGAGGTTTAGAACAGTCTGAGTCTGGGAGTCTGAATAGAGCACCTTCCAAACATCAGTTTTGGTTCAAAATGTGCTTGGGGAGAGGTGAAAGAAGTGCATTCCATGAGCTGACCCATGAAGGCAGCATGACTCTGGCTGGTTGGCATTCCCAGGACACCTTCAGATGCTGTGTTTAATACTCTAGCTGTGGCCAGGCATTTTAATAAAGGTGTGCAGGGGCAGCTTGGGTGACCTACATAAACCAGAGAAGAATCAACACAGGAGAAACCACAGGCTGTTTGTAAGGCCTCAGCCTAAAGCTGAGTGGGACAATCTGGGATGCAGAAATGCTGGGATTGCTGGTTTGGGCATGGGCTGGAATAGACTTTCTGGAATGTAAAACTTCCTAGTTTAGATTCATCTCTGTTTTCAAAGAGGTGTTGCAGTGTTTGGGTTCAAGTATCTTCTGTATAATTGTGTGTACTCCTAAATTCTCCAGAGTACTTCATTTTTCAGTGCTGAACACTCCTGGTTTTATTAAAACAATCTTGCACAGCTTCAGAAAAAAGCACCTTTGGCCATCCAGAGTTCCTAATTTACAGTTCTCCTTTGTTGCTATGAGAAATCTTCAGTTAGCACAGGAAAAATTACAACAGCATAAAAGTTAATTTTGGAGCTGCCAAAACTGTTGCCTAAAGAAAACCTGAAGGCTTTTCTTAAATAATCTGAGACTTTCTGAAGGTAGCTCTTGTTGCCAGTGTGTTTCAAGTGTTCCTCAGGGCACAAAGCACCAACTTTGTGCACGGTCTCAGCACCATCTGTGTGCTGCACTCAGCCCACGCTGTGGTTACTCAGCAGTTGCACAAGGGCCTCACTGCTCCTGCAGGGAGAGGCTGCTCAGAGCATTGCTTTGAATCTGCCCCAACAAATGTATCTTGCACTGTAAACCATCCCCAATCCGTGCTGCTAATGAAATTCCAAGGAGGAATAAGCTTCCCAGGCTATAAAATCTGATCTGGAAATACCTCTCCTTGCTACTCTTGGGAGGGTTTTGTTCCATCCTCTGCTCCTGAGCCATGTACTCTGGCATTGTGCATCATGCACTGGAGCTCTGGAAGTTTGTGCCACCAGCAGAGCTCCAGTCATTGTTTAAATCCTCATTTTCATGTTGTAAGAGCCAAATCAAATAGAAAAATCCTGAGGAATCATTTCCAAATCCCTGTACCACCCCAGGCCCCTCTGATGTGGAGAACATGGCTTATTCCTTGAATTTAGATTTTATACTTTCCCCCCAAGCAGTTATTCCATCAGCAGGTATCATTTGGCTTTTTTAGGGACTTTTATTACTCTTACTTAGTTGTTTCATTACTTACAGGCCACAATTCATATTATCAGACTTTGGCAGTAAAATGAAGTACCTGCATTGCATGCTCAGTATTCTCCTATGTGCTAAAGGTGGCCCATGCTTCCTTTTGCTGATCTAATTTAATATATTCATGACCATTTCTGAACTCTTTTGGCTGAAATTCTCTTTCTGTTTTCCAGGGAACAGTCATATATGGAAAGTGTTGTTAACTTCCTCCAAGATGTTGTGCCACAGGTAGGGCATGGATCTTTTAAAATTAAAAAAAAAAAAAAATTCAGTGCACAGAAAGCAGTGTCAGGAAGCCTCACAATGCTTTGTGAATTTATTATTTTATCAATAGATAAATATTTTTAATGTATATATATATTATATTTTATATATTTATATACTATTTATATATTTTAGTGCATTTATATATAATAAATATGGCACTGGAATGGTCCCTTCCTGGTTGCCCATGGGCCTCCCAGTAGCAGAAGGGAACTAATTTTGTTTTACTCTTTGGGAATGCTGTAATCCATGGTGGAGGAGCACTGCAGCTGATTGTAGCTTCCAGAAATGATCCTGATTCTGATTCCAGGGATTATCTTGGTTACTTAGTCTCTTGTTTCCTCATGAATTTCCTCATAGGAATTCCCAGTGCATTTACTCTGTAATAGTAAAAAAAACAATGCCATCAGTAATATCAGTTTGTGAAATACTTTTTGGACTCAAAAATTAAATATATTTAAAGTTTCAATGAAGAGATTGCTGCATTCCACAGCCTCCCATTCCCCCTCTCTGGTTAAAGGATACAGTCTGTGTTTTATTTTACAAATCAGCTTGCCTTGGAAGCGTGGAATGTGATTTGTTTTGAAAAGTAAACCCCACACTTATTTTTTACATTTGTATTTTTAGTTCAAGTTATTGCTTTTCTGGCATGTATAAAGTGATTATACAAGATGTGTTCATATTTAATCCCAAATAGTGCTCATATATTTTGGTATAATTCATTTGGAAGTGATGGTATTTCTCATGTTCCTGCTACCACAGCTTCTCCTGAGGACTGTAAAACCTCCAGTTTGGAAACACTGCAAGTCTCACTCCACAGTTTCTTTTTGTATCTCATCTTTTTATGGGAATCAGTAGAACACAGGACTGAAACATGGAGCTGTTCTCCTGGAATTGCAGTTTATTCTCTTTTAAATGGCTGCATTAAAGTTGTCACAAACAGAACTGAAAGGTGTCAGTAATATAAACTGTGTAGTAAAGGTCTCTTTCTTTCCTCAGTCTGGCTTGCAAAGCTTTTAAGTGAATTAAAGAGAATTTTAATGATAAAACACCTCATGTGAGAACCTCCAACACTGCTGAAGTTAAAGATTGTAGAAGCCACTGTGTTTAATTTTATTAACTCACTCTAAGTCACGTGGCATTTCTTACCTGCCACAGAAGATTTATTGTATAAATACTTTGTCATTCCTCCATCAGTGAGTGATGCTCAGCATGGTTGTGTTGTGTGAATACTGGTGACAACAAGATCCATGAATCATGTTTGTTGTTTTAAATTAAATTCCTTCTTACAGGAGGAGAAAAAACACTCTTAATCTTTCTTATTTCAACCATTTTGCTTTTTGTCCAGGCCTACAGTGGAACCCCTCCAGAAGAAAAAGAGAAAATTGTCTGGGTCAGATTTGAAAATGCAGATTTAAATGGTATGGCTTCATTTTCTCTCACTTGTTCTTGGGAGTTTTGGGTCTATGTGCAGTAGTTCCAGACAGCTTTCTCTGTAATAAACATTATAATTTTCTTGAGTAAAACCCCCCATCTTACAACCATGAGAGAATGAACAAAGCTCCCTAAAAGCATGGAAGCATCAGAGGTTAATTTGGGGTGGTGGAAGAGGATGTTTTCAGGCCCAATCAGAACAGGCTGCATAAAATAAATTTAAACATAACGTGAAGGATTCTGAAGAATATTCTAAAGAGTTTTGTTATATGAACCTAAAAAGGGAATGCCTGAGATTTTTTTAAAAATAAAAGGAAAACAAACCCACAAGCAAGCAAACCTTAACTGGCCAAAGATGCCATAAAGCCATGTAGAGATTATAGGTAATTTCTAATTCTAATAACCCTGATTTAGGTTCTCTCTCACTCCATCCCTAACCTTTCTTTAATGAAAAGGGAACAGGGATAAACAGGTGGAAGAGCTGAGGTCTGAATGAGGAATCAATCACCATTTTCTCTTAGATCATGTTGTTATTCAGAAAATATTTCTCCATCATTTTAAATTGAAAAGCTTTCTCTTTGTGAAACTTTAACAGTGCTGTTTGCACGACAGAATATATTTCAGTATTGTTCCAGCATGAAAATGTAAAGCACTTTGGTGGCTCTTAGCTCTAACTAAGAGGAAATTAGTTCTAACTAATTGAGGAAACGCCATCTAATGTTGCTGAAAGCTTGATCCTGACGTCTGATAATGGTTTTGCTGTTGGAATCTTATTCAGATACATCCAGGAATATGGAATTCCATGAGATCCACAGCACTGGGAACGAGCCCCCGTTGCTGCTGATGATTGGATACAGCGATGGGATGCAAGTCTGGAGCATACCTGTGAGTATAGAGCTCACCTTCCCCCCTCCTTCTCATTTTCTTTGTCAATATTATATTATAACTTTAATATTTTACCTTGAATTTTTCCCATTGGAGTGGAAAGAGCCAACAGTTCCCATCAATGTTGTATGGATTGTGTGTAATGTGCTTATCTTCAGATAATCCTGAGCACAGCTCAAACACTTCAGTTCATGTACCTGCAGATTTTTGAGGGCTTTTTACACATTATTCCTGCTAAGTCCGTTTCCAGACTCACACTGGGAGCAGTGTTTGCCATTCTGGAATAGTTTGTACCCCCCCCAAAAAAACAGATTTTGCTTTTTAACAGGAAGGAGTAAGGGTGGAAAAACATCAAGAGCCTCCCAACAAATCCCTGGGATTTGTTTGTCCCAGGAACTCAAATATGACAGTATTAATAGTATTTTACAATCACATGTTTGTCATGGACATGATTTGCAATTTTAATTTTACGAAGGGCTCTGTGCATGTGGGTTTGATTTCAGGCTGTCATCCCCACCCCCTGGTTTGTGCTGCAGAGTGGTTTCTGGGGCACGTGGGCTTCATTTGGGAAGGAAAATCTGGGAATTTCCCCCAGATTTTTCAAAACGAGAGACTAAAGTTGAATACAGTAGGTCATAAAACTCTGAATTTAAAAAAGCAAAATTGCTCACACTTTGTCCTTCAGAATAAAGCAGAGGATGGAGTTCTTTCCCTTTTTAAAATACACTGTTTTTTTAAGAAATGTGTACATTTTACAACTTTTTGGTTAGCTGTGTAGGACATGTGTTTTTATGCCAGTATTTTAGAAAATAATTTCTATAGCAACAGTGCAGTTAAATTGAGTTTTATGGGTGTGGTGGAGCTTTTCCCCTCTTGATTGCATCTTATTATCTTCTTGATTGCATTCATTAGCTGGAATAAGGACATAAAAAATCTGAGGAGGTTTTGAAGGAATGAGACCTAACACACTTCGCTAAATTTCAGTATTTTGTAGCTGTTTATGAAAATTTAGGAACTTAAACTGAAGCTCGGGACCATTTCAGCCAGAGCGGGGAATTTCTCTCGCGCCCACGCGGTGGCGCTGGGACACCGAGCTAAGAACGGCAGCGCCGCCCCATCAATCCTTAATTAATTCATTAACACACCCTGAGTATCACATCGGCCTCAGCTCAGGAATCCTCACAAAACACCCTTTTATCCAGCTGAAATGTTATCATCCCAATAAACCTGTGTTTTCTGCTAAAAAAGGGAGATGTGTTGCCATGGGTGGATTTTTTTTCCTTTTTCTCTTTATTTTATTTTTTTTTTTCCCCTCCTTGTGTCCAGTTCCAGGCCATGGAATACCTGATTTTGCCTTTTTTCTAGCAGGACCGTACAGCCAGTCTGTCTGGTTTTTTCTCCCAATATATTTCACGTCTTCATAATTCCTAGCTGTTGATAGTATTTGCTATTTCAGGAAAACTAACAAAAAATGAAGTTGCAGGACAGCTGCTTTTAGTGTTGTTCAACCTTTGCAGAAGTATGAGCAGAGAGAAGTGCAGTGAAATGGAGAAAATGTCAAATGTGGTGATATTTTACCCTCCACCTTCAGGGATGTTGCATCATTTTGCCAGCCCTTTATTTGTAGATTCTGTGAAATTCTGAGAGCACAGCCAGGGAGGTGCAGCTTGGACCTGGACACTTTGGGTTAGTTCAGTGTTGGAATGGTTCCTCTGTTAGTGGAGATTTTCACAGAATAATGATCTTTAACATCAGTTTTAAATACTTTTGCAGAGCAGGGTTTGTATATCCAACAAATTTGGAGGGAACATAAACTGGAGGGGGTTTTACTGAAACTGGAGGGTGTTTAACTGAAACTGGAGGGGGTTTTACTGAAACTGGAGGGGGTTTTACTGAAACTGGAGGGGGTTTTTCACATTGTTGCTTCTCCTTTGCATTTCCCCCCCTTGCTCAGCCTGAGCACAATAAAACCTGGCAGTTATGCGATTGACTTAATATTTAAGAGCTTATTTGGCAACACTTTTTTGTGTCCTTTGCTATTACACAAACCTTCCTTCTTGGAAAGCTGACTATTTAGCTTGTAATTAAGCAATGTTATTCCAGCTAAGGAAAAAAAAAAAACAACCAAAAACCCCAACCCTGCATTCTCCAGCTTAATCTGCAAAAGCAACAATCTGACATTTATGTGCAAATCTCCTCAGGAAAGTCATTATCTGTAGCATTGTGCTTTTTTATTCCTACAATTGGCCCTCTATTCAGCACTTAATAACGTGTTGCAGGCAGCAGGGGTTGTGTGTGAGTGATTATGAAGTGTTTATGACAGCTCCTAAGCCCACACTCCTGCTAATGGTGTTACATGGCCTTGCCCACACCTCGCTGCTGTGTCTCTGGGCAGGCTGAGAGTGCTTTCACGTTGACATCTCCTCCGAGGAAGATCTTTGGACTACAAAAGTGTGATTTGCAAAATGGGAGATCCCATTAGGGCGGCTTCAAAGGGCTTGGGGTGGTGTTTGAGGGAGCCTGGCCTTGGAAGTGCAGCACAAGGTGTCCATCCAAAGGGCTTGGCTTTGATCTCTGCTCTCAGATGGGGGTGGGAAGGTTAAAAGTGGACTTAAAATACTCCTGGCTGAGTGGGGAGGAATCTGGGAATACACTAGGAGTTCCTGTTTGATAATGGTGCAGTGGAGTTTTGTGTTTTGTTTGGAATTTGTTTTTTCCCTTGCTTCCAGTTTCATGTTTCAGAGACAACTGGATCTGGTTTCTGCCTGATGTGGTTTCCAAGTATCTGTTCTAGATGTTCCTGTTCAGGGAATGCATGTTGGCTGCTTTTTTTTTTTTTGGTTTTCATTGTAGGCTGGGAGTTTTAGAAGTAGAAAAATCATCTCAATGGAATGGTTCTTGTTACAATGAAAAAATAAACTTATCACATCCAAGCTGCAATCCTTCCTCTGTCCAGACCACTTTCTAGAGGAAACCACCTGCAAGTACCACTCAGAAAAATGGAGTAATGACCCGACCTGGTGACCCTGAAAAATGTCTGAGGACTTTGCAAAGCATCTATGCAGATCATTTGCTGAGGCTTTGGGGTTTGAGGCACCAGTGTACAACAAATGTGGTTTTACAAAACTTCTGATTCTATTAGCACTGCCGTGATTTAAAGTACTAGGTGCAGTTTCATCCTCAATCCAGTCACTAGAGTAGCATTCCTTGTGCATTTAAATTCTTACAGTCTCTAGATAATTACAGAGATCTGGTCTGAATGGAAAAGCTGAGTGAATTTCTAAACAAAAGTGATAAAATTTGTTCATTTTCTTCCAATCCTTTCTTACTTTCTCAGCAGCATCGTGACTGGAAGTTGCCATTAACCCATATACAGCAATATTTGGTGGTGGTACCTATCAATTGCTTTTCTTTATATTATAACATCCTATCATGATATCTTCATGTTTAAAATATACATCTGAATATTTAAAAACAACCTCTAGATTTGCACAGTGGTTCTAACATTGAGTTCCAAACTCAATTTCGCTTCACTTTGGTGTATGTTTGGCTTTTTTTTATTTTTAAGGGTTTTTTTTCACCATGTGAAAACTATTTTCTCTGGTTGGAAACTATTACTTATCCTCGGTGTGAACAAAACTTCCTTTGTTCAGCTTTTTTTTATGGGTGCAAACTGGTGTGCTCCAAACAATAGAGCTATGCTGTCAAAACCAGCACTGCAGATTCCTGGGCTGTCATGTTTTAGGCAGTAGCTCGAGATGTCTTAAGTGGAGGAGAAGATTCTTCTTCCTCCTTTAATCAAGACTTTTTCTGGGGATTTGAATTCTTTGTTCCAGCCTTCCCTGTAGGTCTGGGAGCTGTGGTTGATCCCAGGTTTTGGGAAAGCTGAGATGTTCTACCAGACCAGCTTGGAGCCATCATTTTGGATTCCCTCTTCCCTACAATGAGTACCTGAAGCTGCTTTTACAGCTTAATATCCAATTCTTGAAACCTGTTTGGAAATACTCTTGGCTTTTGGAATGGGAAAGAAAAACTTTTAAGAGCTCTGAGAGCTGCCACGGGGACTTGCTACTTAGCTGGATCCAATCCAAAATGGCAGCCACAGCCTCGTTTCTCACAGGTGCTTTTTGAAGAATTTAGAGCTCTGTTTTCAATTCATGAGCTCTATTTATATTTTGTCTGTGCGTGTGAGACTGTGGAGCTCCAGGGACTGGTAATGGGATGTGGAGCCTTTGGCTGAGAGTTGCCAGCCCACAGCTGAGCTGTTGTCCCCTCAGAGTGTGGTTCCTGGTCCCACTCGAGTTCCTGGTGGGAAAAGTGTCCCACCCACAGGGAATGAGCAGTGAGATTCAGGCCACGCAATCTCTGTCCCCTGAAGGAGGAGCCTGCAGGCAGATTGGGTCTGCAATAAACTTTTATCCATAGATAAATGAAGGGTATTAGTATTAGTATTAGTATTAGTATTAGTATTAGTATTAGTATTAACCACAGTTAGTTCAGGCTTTTATAAGACTGCAAACAGCAGAAGCTTCTGGTGGTGGTGCTGTTTGAAGGAACTTAATTGGAATTCAAAGAAAATCTTGAACTCGAAGCCCTAATGCATTTTTCAGTGCCAAGCAAACCAAGGAACAACCAAGCTCTTACTAATTCATGGCAGACACAACGTGCAATGTCTTCCATGAGTCCCTGTCTCAGCAGAACAGTTAAGGACACACAGCTTAAATCCTTAGAAAAAGCTGTTATTTTATGAAACTGTGCTAGATTAAATGTTAGTGTTTTAATGTCATCAGTGTTGTAGTGTCACGTCCAGATTTTTTGAAACTCAGTTTTGTGCCTGTTAGTGAATTTGAATTTTCTTTACAAGCCAGATGCTGGTGTTTGTGTGGCATCTTGTATTTTCATTACAAAGCCTCCAGTGAGGGTGTATCTTAAAATTTGCTCTGTTTTAGCTCCCAGGAGTCAGCAAGTGCTCAGCACTTGAGCTGTGGAGGCTGAACCCAAACCATTCCATGATTTAGAATGCTGCAGGGACTGAGCAGAGGACCTGTTAACCTACAGTGGTCTCAAAACAGGGGCTAAGTACCTGTAATCTCATTTTAGTGACTGTTGGATCCTGCGCCTTTTGTTACTCCATTTAACCTTACTTTCTGTAATTTCCCCCCAATAGAAAATAATAAATTATCTTTAAATAATGAATATAAATTATTCAATAGTTACTGCATTATATGCATGAGAAGAACTGGGCTGGGATTTCCATGTTAAATGCTTCAGTACAAATAAACTTCATTTCTATTTGGACATTTCAAGCTTTTCTTTGCAAGTCTCAAGATTAAATTCTACCAGGTCTTGGCACCCCAGGCTGGATAAACATTCTCCTGGAGTTCAGGATATTTAAGAGCAGAACCTGAGTTAAGAAGGTTTGGCCCTCTCAGTGTGTCTTCCTTGGGGGACTGGAACTTTGTTTGAAGTCGATTGGAGCTGGGGCTGATGTGCTGGCAGGGTTAAAAAGGAGAAGGAGGTGTCTGAGCTGGGCTGGGATATTTTATGGGAATCACTCCTTCCGTACCTTTGTTGTGCTGGTTCCTTTCCCTCTTGTTTTCATTCCTAGCCAGAGATGTGCATACACGTGTGAAACAGCATTTTCAGGGTTTGGGGGAAAAATCTTTAATTGCCAATAATAATAATAATTCCCAAACCTTCTGTTTTTCTTCTTTTCCATTTCCTCCTTTCCCTTTTCATAGAGCTGCTGTGTTCCAATGGACAGAAAATGTGCTGCTGTCTTAATTTTTAAAATCTGTTTATTACTTTGTCCCTCTTTAATTTTCCTCATTTTCTGCTTAGCTGTGCTCTACATTTTCCTGAGCTGTTTTTTCTGGATACAGATGTTTTCATCCAGAGGCTTTTTTTCCTTCCACCTCCACTGCACTCCAAGCTCATGATCAGTTAAAAGCCATCAGCAAACCTTCAGTGAGTTCATTTCTGATGGTGTCATTAACAGTGATTTTAATTGATAAACTGCTGGGCTAAAATGGTTTAAAATATTATTTCCCCACATTTGTGTGGCTTGTGTGTAATTCCAGGCCTAACAGGGAGAAGCAGTAGTTCCCTGCATGCAGAATGCTGGCTTAGCTCTGCCAGTAAATGGCATTTTCAATGTAATTTTATTTATAATTGTGCTCTGTGGGGTGGGTTTCATTCTCCCCCATGACCTAGAGCAGTGATAATAAATAACCAGGCAAGAGTGGATGTAAGCTGAGAGCCTGGAGTACTGTACTTGGGATTTGCTGGTCAAACAGTAGGAGTATTTTAACTTTTTGGACGTGTGAGCTGAAGTGCAGAAAGAAATGGAAACAACCATAAAATGACATTTCCAAAAGTTCACTTGAATTTATAGTTTATTGATTCCTAAGAACCTCATTCCAAATCATGTTCTCTTCTGATATTGTAAGCTGCTTGTTTGGCAAAACTTTATGCCAGCCTTGGCTGTGTTCTGAGGCTCATTACATCTGTTTTAAGTTGTTGGTTAGTTGGAAATGAGCTTCATAATGTTTGCCATTTTCCTGGAGTTTGACGTTCCATATCGGATCCATTTCCAGGCAGTTATGAAAATACATTGAGTGACCATTGCAGGAAGTCTGGAAATTCATCTTAACTGCTTCTGGTTTAATCTTTTCAACATTGCCATCAGTGACAGGCTTAAGGAGCTTGACCACCTATTTTTAAACATGGTTTTCACACCTGGTGAGTTTGAAATGAACCAGTATATGAAATTCTCCCATTTTCTTCCAGCCATGTTTGCCACTCTTGATTGATCTCTGTTGAGCTGGCATTTTCCTTTAGAACCATGTGAAATGTGGGATAAATTTTGGTGAATTTTACCTTCAAGTCTTGCTTCTTCCAAAACCTGTGTGGTCATGAACAGTTAACTGAAGACTTCTAATATAAATTTTCAATTGGAGAAATGGCAGTGCTTGCTCAGGCAGAATCTTACCAATGTACTTCTCTACCATGCCTTTCTACCTACCTTCTTAGCCATTAAATCCATCTATTTTTGCAAGTATAAATCTGTTTTTTGCCCTGCTGTTGGCATTTGCAGATCAGTGGGGAAGCTCAGGAGCTGTTCTCGGTGCGCCACGGGCCAGTTCGAGCCGCTCGGATCCTCCCAGCTCCTCAGATCAGTGAGTACACACTTAAATACATCATCATTCACCAGAACTTTTAAAAAGGCTGCTTTTCCACTCCAGTAAAACTAATAAGACACCACAATTTGTTTTTTGGGGTGTCACTGGCTTCTGATTTGTTCAATTTCTCCTTATTTTACATTAACTTTACTCACTTTGACCCTTTCAGTGGTTTAAATTTTATCCTCCCTTGAGTGCAGCTCCTCTCTGCCACTGCTTAAATACTATTTTATCAAATTCTAAACCAAGCTGCTTAATTTAACAGGATTCTTCCAGAAGTTGAGTTAACCCCAAGAAGAACTTGTTTCAAAATCTGAGCAGCTGTGCATAAAGAAGCAAATGACTCTAAAAAACTTATGCATCTCCATCCAAACAAAATCTAATTGCTGACTTCTGAAATAACTGTTTGTGTCTAAATTAAATTGGTTGTTTTACTCTGTGGATAAAAAGAATGTATTTCTAACATGACCGAGGTGTTTGGCGATTATGCTGGGTTAGAATTTCTAGTAATATTTTATGAATTAATTAACTCAAAATAATACAGCCTAAAATCTAATTGTTTAACTTATTACAGCCTAAAATCTTATTGTTTAAATTATTCATAGTAAATTGTACTGATTTTGTGTATTTCAAAGAAAGTAAATGAAAAATGTTTAATGGAAACATGATATATTGTTTTGGTGATTTCCTGAGCAGAGGATATACAAAGTATATGTGGCTGTGTAACTATTACAGGTTAAACTAACTTACAGTAAAATATTTCCCAAGCCTGTTGTTCCTTTATTCCATTTACTGGAACCCTGCATAATTCCCAATGAGCTGCTCTTTTGCTATTATGTGTGTCATTGAGTAATGCATGTCTGTGCCCCTTCCTCTCCCAAAGGGAAAAAAAAAGGAGAAAGAGAAGTGGAAATGAAAATTAAGTAAATTAACTGAAGAACCTGGGAGTTCTGTTTTTTTCTGGTATTAAAACAGGTTTTTGATTTTTCAATCAAGTAAATCACACTCATGAACTCCTTCAAGCAGTCATTGTCTTTCTGCCCCTAAACTCCATATATTTAGCATCTGACAATGATAGTTGTTCCATTAGAAAACTATTCAAATTAGCTCATATTAAATTAAACCAAACCTTTTAAAAACATGTTTTGGTCTCTTTTTACATGGCTTGCTTTAAATAAATCTTTGATTAAAAGTACATGAATGTATCATTGACCAGTATCTGGAATCAGATAAAAGTAAAGCTGTAAGAAGAGGCCTTAGATAACTAACTCATGAGCTTTAATGATTCTGCATGAAATAAAAGGAATTTGTAAAGGAGAAGCTGATTACCATCAGCAGGCTCAAACACTGTTTTACTGTAAAGCTGTAGAAAGGGAATTATTGAAAATAGTCTCTTGGTGGATGGATTTGGCACGTTCCTAGAAACAGATCTGAGCTGGTGATAAGCAGCTCATTCCCAGGTGTGAAAGGAAAGCTCATGGCTTTAACTTGGTGACTTTACAGCAGCAGAACTTAATAGTTTGTCAACTATTTCATTAAAAACCTGCAGCCTTTTGATGTTAGATCCTCTGCCTGTGGTGTGCCTGGTGGCATAATGAAGCCTTGTTTCAGAGGGGTGATTTCATGCAGGGCATCTCCTCCAGCAGGTCCTGGGTGCTGCTGGCAGCAGGAGCTTGGGCAGGTTTGTTATGTCAGGAGCTGGGCCAGTTCCTGGAGCTGCTGGCACTGCCTGCCCTGCTCTGTCTGAGCCCCCCAACCTGAGCTGGCCCAGCTCTGCTCTGAGCCCCCCAACCTGAGCTGGCACTGCCTGCCCTGCTCTGAGCCCCCCAACCTGAGCTGGCCCAGCTCTGCCCTGCTCTGAGCCCCCCAACCTGAGCTGGCCCAGCTCTGCTCTGAGCCCCCCAACCTGAGCTGGCCCAGCTCTGCTCTGAGCCCCCCAACCTGAGCTGGCCCAGCCCTGCTCTGAGCCCCCCAACCTGAGCTGGCCCAGCTCTGCAGCATCACTTTGATGTCCTGCTCTGCAGCCTGGAGGAGATGGCCATGAAAAATGGAGACATTTGTGTAAATAATGCTAAACCTCCCAGATATCAACTGTTCTCTGTGGTCAGGTCACACCTACCACTGCCTTCAGCAGTGCAGTTTACAATATACATGGCCTTTTTGGAGACTGAGGGTTTGCACTGTGACCAAATTTTGGGCTTGCAGAGCTCATATTTAGACTATGAGAAATCTCAGTCTGGACTCTGGCAGTCTTAGGGACAGGAATTGTGAGCTGTAATAGCTCTGAGCCATCCTTGGCTCTTCCCCACTTCCAGATCTGGGTGCTGGGCTGGCTTTAGGGTTCTTTCCCTGTGTCCAGGTGTGCTGGGGACTGGATTTTCTGTCAGTGCTGAGGCAATGATACTCCTATTTCAGTTACCTTTGTTGTTCTTTCACCTACAAAATCAGAATATTGGTGCTTTCTGAAGGAAGTCAGTGCTACAATCTCCCATTTTTTATTACTTATTCCAGGTCATTTTACAAGCCAAATACCTGCTTTGCCTTGTGCTGTCCCATTTATCAAGGTAGAGCTGCATAGTTTAAAAATCAGTCAAGAAGCTCAGAAAGCCAGAGGAGCAGCTCTGTGTGTGGCAGCTCCTGCGCAGAGGGGTGACAGGCTGGTGTGGTGAAGTTTAGATCAGTGTAAAACCTATTTCCATTTCTCAGCATTATGAAAATAAATTCCTCCAGCTAGCTGAATTAATTTATTGCCATTTTCTAGATTATGCTGCTTGCAGAAAGATGGTATAATAGCCCTGCATCTCTCAGTGAATTTGACTGTTCACTCAAATTGACTTATAAGGGGGGGGGAAAAAGCAAGTAAAAAAAAGAAATAAAAATAATTTAGAGGTACTAAAACCCATTGAGAGTTGAAATATTGCAGCAGACTTATCCCTGTTCTCCACTGCTCTCATCTTTGATGTTGGGAAAATTAAGATTTGAACCTCAAAAGCTGACTCAGGTTTATGTGCAGGTACACTTAAAGAGCTTTAATATTTAGGTTGCTTTCTGAAGGAAGGCAGATGTGAGGTTTGTGTACGTTCAGCCACTTGGGTGGTTCAGTGGTTTTAAATCCCCAAAGGCCAAAATAATCAAAGGGTCTGTGTGGTGGAGGGGCTGGCCCTGCACGATGGACAAGCAAGGTTTGGGGTGCTTGTGCAGGTGTGTGTCTGAGTTTTGGTGTTCTCCCTCTGTTCTGTGGGGTTTTTTGGGATAATGAATGGTCATGTCTGTGGATTACAGAAATTACAGAGTGGAATTTTCCAAGTAACGCTTTTAGAGATGTTGCAGGGAAGAATTCTGGAGTGCAACACTGTAAAATCCCAATTTCTTGGAATCTTTGGCCTGACCCGTGTTCCATCATCCCATCATAAATGAAATGAAACAATTATTTCACTATTTTCTGGTGCTTTAGACCAGTGCACCTGAAACTTCCAGCCAGCTGGGCTGAGAGGGAATTCCAGCCTGGGGCATTCCCAGGTGCTGCTTTGTGGGGCAGGACCACAAATGCCACAAGATTTCCAAGGAAAAGATGGAAATGAGAGGGGTTTAGTGGAGCAGGAGCAGAGCTGCATTATTAAATGGGATTGATCAGTGGAATTACACACCAGGAAAATCCACTCCATGGTGTCTCTGCCCGCTGCTAAATAGGTCAGAGTGTGAAATTCATCCAGCACGTTTCCTCCTCGTGGGAAACCAGTTTGATTTCCAGAGTTCTGAGCAGCTTTGGAGTTCCTGTGACATCCACTGGGTTCCATTTTTATTCTGTATAAAGATGTGCTGTTTTTGGTGGTGTTGTTACTGTTTTTATTGGCATTATTGAGAGGCCTTTGCAGGCCCCGAGGTCTCTGTTCACAGTTTCATCAGCAGGACAGGGCCTAAGCTGCTTTGAGCTTACGTGTGGGTAACCTTCTGACTTCATAAACTTCTAAATGTTGATTTGTATGAAATTTCATTTAGCCACAGAGATATTTTTTTTTCCTTTTTTATTTTTTTTTTTTAATTTTAAGCACACTAACTGAAGTTAGGTTTTTAAAAAATCAAATCTATCATTTAGCTAAATGGAGCTGTAGATAAGGTGGTGCCTTGTTGGCAGGAGGGGCAGTTTTCATTACTTTAATTGTGTGATTTGTCAGGATTTCCAGCATTTTATAAATGCTGGAGTGTTATATGACAGAGTTAAAAGGATTTAGAATAAAAGGAGTTTAAGAAAAAGACTTTGCAACAGGATTTCAATACTTTTTGTATTTGGGAGGATTTAGAGAGCTGTTTTTCATTTCAATTTTGTTAAACACTGTGTGCAGCAGGTGTGTGCAACGTCAGCGCCTCGCACATGCAAATAAACACAATTTTACAAATGAAAATTAATCCAGCAGAACTTGGGAGATTAAATCCCACCCCAGACCTGGGAGAGAGGCTCCTACCTCCATTAGAGCGTGGCAGAGCCCAACACATGTCACTCTGTGCAATCTCATGGATGGGACAGCTATTAACCTGATTTAATGCCCTCAGAGGCCTCTCAGTAATGATCCTTTCCTGCACTATTAATATTTACATTCTGAAAGTATTGAAGTAGAAAATGGATTTTTTAAAATTGAGGGACTCGAGTCGTTACAGGCAGAAATCAGAAGTTTAAGCACCTATTGCTGAAATTCTGCAAATCTGTACTGTGGGTATTAAACCTGGCATTGCTTTTGATTTTGGGCACTTGATTCCCTGCAGTCCCATTCATATTTTCCCTCCTTCTTTCCCCTTCCTTGTCATTAAACTAGACCATAAAAGAAACATCTGAATTTGTGTGTCTAATACATCCTAATGAAAAAAAAAGGAAAAAAGTAGAGTTCAATACTTCAGGTGAAATCCTGGCTGCACTTAAATGAGAGCTGCAGGTAGTCAGCATTTCACCCCAGTGGAACAGAACAAGTGGAATTAATCTGTTACCTGGATTGAAGGAAACAAATTTGTTACGAGACTCTTAAGAAGACTTTTATGTTTCATTTATCAATTTACAGGTCAGTACATACAGTACAGGTTTGACTCACCAAAGAGATTGAAATAATAAATAAATGCATGTACCTGAGTTATTAATAATTAACAGTCTCCTATGTCAAAATGTATATTGTTAATTGTTGTGCCTTTCTGAATAAATGGTTTAGTTTTGTACAGCAGTATTTAAGATTTAAATTTTGAGCAGACTGTATCACTAATATTCTTTAGAGATCAAAGGGTTTGTTGTATAATGGAGAAAAAAATAAAATTCAGTTATTCACCACACACCTGCAGACCTATAGATAGATAATTAAAAAGGCAAAGGATGAAAGAAAATGGAGGAAAGGTAGTAGTAGTGGTATTGGTTGTTACTTTCTTATTTAAATTGGGTACAAACAAACCCTGGAATTCAGTTAAACGTTGTTTACAAGCAGAAGTGATTTTTTTTTTTTTTTAAACTAAATTTTAGTTTTATTTCTGTTTATGCAGCAGTAAAGCAAAGTTCTCCAAACTCTTAAAACCCCGTTTTAAGAAGTGTGATGTCTTTAAGAGTGCTGGGGTGAAGGTGTGACCGAGCCTGGGGGGACAGCAGGGCTGATTCCCAGTGCCAGGGCTGGTGTGGGAGAGGATCCCAGGGCAGGCACAGCACAAACCCTGCTGGGCTGTGCTGCTGCCAGCACCCCTGGCAGAGGATGGCATGTGCTGTAGGAGCTGTGTTTGCACCTGGAGGTCCTTTCCTCAAAGGTGTCAATCTGCTGCTGCTGGAGCAGATGGATCAGGTTTGAATTTCATCTCCTGTTTTCCTGGGCACAGGGCAGGGGCTGCAGGGCTGCTCCGAGGTTGGCACTGGTGTGTTCCATTTTTACAAGCTGGGAACCAAGGTGGGAACTCCAGGCAGAGCTGCCAAGGGCCTCAGCACAGACAAGTTCATAAAAAACAGTGAAAAGTGAGCGAGAACCACCGGTTACAGAATCCCAGCCTCAAGTGGGATGAACAGAAAATCACTCCCAAAGCCTGGCCACGTTTTGCTGCTTGTGTTGTTTCTCATTTTCATCTCTGTCAAGATCAGTCCTTCACTGCTCACAGCTCGGCCTTAATTTGAATTTCTGTCCCTCATCTTGCACAAGCTGTGGGTTTTGTGTTATATCTGATATATTGGGCCCCAACCTGAATTTGGGAACTGTACAACAGTACAAACAGTACACAGTGATTTGCTTTTTCTTTTCTTTTGTTTTCCCTCTTCTCAGGTGCTCAGAAATGTGATAATTTTGCTGAGAAGCGGCCTCTGCTTGGTGTGTGCAAAAGCATTGGATCTTCTGGGTAAGAATGTTCTTTGTTTATAAAAGGAATATATAATTTGTACTGCCATCTGAAAAGCCCAGTAGATGACATCTTTAAAACTTTGTTCCTTTTTTCTTCATGGAATAACACTGGGATGTGGTTTTAAACTATTTTTTTGGTGTGTCAACATATATTTTCCTAAGTCTTAAGCTATTGGAAAGGAATAAAAAAGACTCTTGAAATAAAATAAATGAAGAGGTATTTACAGTTTATTTTATTCTCAGTGGAATCACAACTTTATGATTAACCTTTTCTGATATTAATCTGGGTCAGAATTATTATTGTGAAGTGTTTAAAGCAGTCTCTGTGTCTTAAAAAGTAATTTTTCAAGCAGTAAATAAATCACAAATACCAAACATTTCATTGTTGCAGCCACACTGTTTGTTAGCAAAACACACGTTAAACCTCCTTCCTTGAGTTAGAAAAATCAGTTTACAGTCCTGTTTTGTGCTCTCTACAGAATTGTTGTATCACTGCTCTTATAAAAGAGGCCCTTAAGATATTTTATGTTTGATTCAGACAATGCACAGGATTTATATCTTTACCTACAGGAAAATATTTGCTTTTCAGGAGTAATCCTCTACACAGCCATTTAATGGCTGAGCAGTTGAAGTAAATCTTCTTACAGTTGTAAGACTAATTCTGTGCCACACCTTTTTCAATTAAGAATTTAATCGTTGTGTGTGTGAAGGAAGAACTGTCAAATCTTTACCTTTCTCTGTTATTACTGTGGTAAATTGCAATATTAATGTTACCTGCCTTAAATATTTGAATGAAAATCCACATAAGGCAGAGAAGGGAGTTTTTTTCTAAATGTATTTCCAGCTTTCAAAAACCAGTTTATGGTGATTTTTCTGCTTTTCTTCTCTGCCCTGTAAGTTTAACTATTTATTAATTACAGGTGCAAATACTGATTTGTGTTTATCCAAACATTGTATATATATATGTAAAGGATATGTTGGTTTAGTAAAAATTTTCCTTCACACACTTGTTTTAGAAGCTGAGAAATGAACAAACCCTGAAGATAGTTATTTTCATTGTGTTATTGTAGTCCTCAGTTAATGGAAAATAATTCAAAGATTATGGGCAGTTTCTGTTTTCCTCAAATAAAAGCCCCTCACGTGTTTTCAACACCATAATATTGTCATTTCCAAATAAGTTTTTGTTATTACCATTATTAATTAATTCCCAGATTAATTTCCTGATAATAGATTTTGTTTTCTATTCTGGTGTGTGATCATTTTATAGTCATCAAGATGGAACTTTTGCTTCATATCTAATTTTCTGGTACACACATTTTTGTATTTTAAAAGTCACATTTTTCCAGCTAGTGAAATGACTGAAATGTTTCAGAGGGAGGTTGGACTGGATGATCTTTAAGGGTCCCCTTCCAACCCAAACCAGCCCATGACTCACTGTATAATCTTTTCAAAACAGTTGTTTTCACAGCCCCCCAAAAGATGCAATCCTGACATGGAAATGGGAAACACATTGTGTTTTTTGGCTGATATTTCTCTGCTGCTTTAGAGGTTGGTTCAGTCAGCTTCAGTCTTAGATTACAAGATTTGCAAATTAAAAGGAAAACCAAAAAAGAAAGAATATCTGCCTAAATTTTGGGGTTGTGGAAGGTTGTAAAGACATGCCTGCTTGTTCCTGGTGATAAAACAAACACATCTTTATACACAGACAGAATTAATTGATGGGTTTGGTGTTTATTAATGCATTTCCTAGGTGGTGAAACATTAAGATAACCCTGTTTTCCCTGCATGGGTTATTGAAGCCACCGTTTGGAACAGACTGGATCTGTAAAAACACTTTTAAATACACCAGAGAGGTCCAAAATCCATTACTTTTGTTTTGTTTAAATGAAAATGTACCAACATATTTAAATTAAGTAAATGCTTCATTTTACCTAATGGAGAACTTTAGAGGGAAACCAACCAGGATAATTTTGTTTTATTTTAGATTATTAAAAAAACCAGTTGAGAATAAATGGAGAGATTGCAAATTTACCCTTCAATAGATAATATAGGTAACAAGAAAGCTGAAAATAATCAGAATTATTTTCCAGGAGGGAAATAAAAGCATGTGAAGAAGCAGGGGCAGGGAGAAGGGGGCAGGGAAGTTAGAGCCCTTGTCCTGTTGCTACATGCTCTTATAAAGCCTTTCTCCATCTTTCTGCAGGTACTAGATCTCTAAGCCATCCTTTACAAAAAGCATTTGGTATTTTGGCTCCCTTGTCCTGTGTCCAAATAGCCAAATTATTTTGCTAAAAGATTAGCAGATTATGCCAGAATCTTACATGGGCAAGTATGATAATTGGCTAATGATGCAGATCTAATTAATTAAACAATCAGTAATAGATGATTAAAAAGTATTTGAGGCCTTTAGGGAGAGTGCAGGAGCTCAGGCAGTGGCCCCATCAGCAGCCTCTAGCCTGTGTTGGCTTTCCAGCTTATATTTTTAGAAAGTTGAATTAATTTAATGGTATCAAGTGGTGGAAAATTTTGGATGACTTGAAGAATTGGATGGAGGTCACTTAAGGGCATGAGAAGCAAGAGGTAATCTTTATTAATCATGGGAGGAGAGAGGAAATTAGGGTAAATTAAAGAAGGAGGAGTAGCTGGAGCAAACAAAATGTGTAACTTTGGCTAGCCAGCATTTTTTCCCCCTGCTGATCTGTTTACAAGGCAAATCAATTGGCAGCAGATTTTCAGGAAGCGTGTGCTCTATTCACATGGCTACTGTAGATTAAATCCTGCTAACCTTAGCCCAACTTCAGCTCAGGAATGTGTTTATGGGAGTGCTCAGGTTTAGAAAGCAGCTTCACATGAGTAACAGCAGAATTAAAGTGTTACTATTTTCTCAGTTATAATTTCAGAGTCACACGGGCCTGGTCTGGGTCTGGCAAAGTCGCTGGGTAGTGCTAAAATCCAGTGTCCACTCTGTGTCCTTTTTGTAGCTTTTAATGCTTCAAATGAGCTGGCTGGGAAATGATTTGTCAGCCACAAACAGCAAAGCTCCTGCAAGGATCACCCCAGAGGAGGAAAGGAGCTCTGCTGAATGCAGGTTTTGTTCCCAGCTCTGACACTGCTCAGGGGAGCTCTCCCTGGAGTATTTTTCCTGGAATGCCCTTGCCAAGGCAGTGCTGATGGCGAGGACTCACCTGGCTCAGCCCTGCCATGGGCTGTGCAAAGGGTGTGCTCCCTCCAGGTAGAAAATGCAGTTTGTTTTCTAAAATCACATAGAAAACTAGTCTGGGCAAGATGGTTGTGATTTTCAATTGTATTGGGCGCTGTGAAATAGATTTCATGAAGTTTGTGAAATATTTGTGGGCTTTTATTGAAGACTGCGCAAAACTCAGATTTTGTGAACACTCTCAAGCCTAGAGAGCAAATTCAATTTAATTATTTCGTTCTAAAACGTACAGTAAGACCTCTAAAGTTGGGCAAAACTCTCTCATTTCTGTTACTGTTGAGGATTTGTGTCCCAATGGTTCTTGTGCTGCTGCATAACTGCAAAGCCTCATTAACTGCAGGGTTGTGTGGTGTCAGCTGCCTTGCAGAGACTTCCTTCCCTTCCAGCAGTTGAAAAATATTTTCCTCTCTAATTTCTTTCAGGAAAATTCAGTTTAGCCTTAGCAGGTTGTGTGGTAGCTTTTAAGATCCTGAGAGAGGCAGGAATAAAGTAGTTTAAATTCCTTTCAGTGATGCCGGATGGGGTTGTTACATGCTAAAGATAAAATCTCCATCTTAAAAAGAGCTCTTTAGTTCCCAGCATTTTTTTCTTGTAAGCTGATTCTGTGATTATAAAAATGTATTTTTTTGTAATGTTGAAGTGATGTTTGTTGGTAATTCTGTGAATTTCCTTAGGGATTCCAGTGCCAGGAGATGGAGCTTTATTGGAATAAGGTGGTGTTTTCATGTGTAAATACCGAGGGCAGGAAAGCTCTGGAGTTCCTCTGATACTCCAAATGTTAGTCTCAGTGAACCTAGAGTAAGAAATAACCTCTGAACTATAATAAACTGTTAATTTTGGATCAAAACTGGGAGAAAATGAGTATTTGGGGTCAAACCTTGACCAGCTGGTGAGAACCATGGGTAGTTTTGACCTTCTAAAGCTTTGATTTATGAAGCTGTAAAAAGATAAACCTTTTCTAAGGCATCCTCGGGATGGAGCGGAGGTTTGGGAGAGCAGATTCCCGAGCTGAGGCTGAGTTTTGTTTTACTGCTGTTCCAACCCCTGTGTGTGCAGTGGTGCAGGGAGGGGATGAAGGCATGGAGAGGATGGAGAGAAGGAAGTCCAGCTAAAACCAGCTGGAGCACAAACCTGCCCCCAGTAACTTGTCAAAAGAAGCACCACAGGGAAAAGATAATGCACAGCACCATTACAGGCAGGGCTGCCGCTTCCAGGGCCACTTTAAATTCCACTTTAAATTATTAAATACTGTAAACGCTATAAAGTTAATTAGAAGAGGAACAAACTCTACAAAGATAAATGTGTTTTCAATATGTTTCTCAGGGAGGGTACAGTAGAAACCAGTGAATGAGAGGAAATTTATTTCTGGCAGCACTCTAGACATGGAACTGTGGTTGAACTTTTTACCCTAATTACGTCCCCACTAATGCCTGCAGCGGTCTGGAATCAAAGTGGCCCTTCAGGCCCTGGAAAGTCTCTGATGTGGCGAGCGTTTGTTGTGTGCTGAGGGTTACTTCAGAAAAAATGGAATATTGTGACAAGATTTTTCAAAATTTCTCAGTTACCACCCACCTCACTTGTTGCCTACAAAAATAGAGTAATTGTTTGCATCTGTGTGTTTTTGTCTGTCTTAGAAATAACTGTTATAAATCAATGTGACAGACCCTGAGAGCAGTTGAGGATTATATTTTCTTATATGTTTTAGGGTTATTTCTGTGTTCTATACTGTAGGAAGGATTTAAAGGACATTGGAAAGCAGAAATTTCAGGATGATTGAAGTT